AGGTTGAGTACAAACCTGGAAGGTTGAATGTGGTGGTCGACGCTTTGTCGTGTTGACCTGGCTATGCTGCTAAAGCAGCCGACGTCAATCGAATTGGCGTCAAGCGAGTATATGCTCCGTCGTCGACGTTGATAGACGACGTGAAGAACGCGTATGCGAGTGAATCGGACGCGAAATAACTGCTAGTCTATATCTTAACACATTCCGACGTGTCACGTCGGAAGTTGTCGCCAAATCTGCGAGCTCGTATACACCGATATCGTGTGCACGAAAGACTGCTGCTTTACAGCGCAGTGGACGGCGATGCACATCGTTGTGCCGAATGTTTATGATCTGCGTATGCGGATCATTAACGAGTTTCACGATGCCCCTACGGCAGGGCATCCGGGGCGTGAGAAGACATACACTCTTCTCACGAGAGACTTCTACCGGAGTCATCAGAACAAGTGGGTGCGCAAGTACGTATGTGCTAGCGAAGATTGCTGCGTATTTACAGACCCCATTACAATCACTACTAAGGACACCGTCGGAGTGCTGGCAGTCCATTTCAATGGACTTTGATTTCGGTCTTCCGCCAAACAACAAGCGGGGGACTGGCGTTGTGGTCTTTATTGACCGATTCAGCAAGATGGACCATCTTGCTGTAGTACCGGCTAAAGTCACGGCCGTGCTGACTGCACGACTGTTTGTTGACATGGTGCTCAGACACCTTGGAATGCCGCTCGACATTGTGTCGGACCGTGATCCACTCTTTACAGCGCGATTCTGGCAAGAAGTGCTTACACTTCTTGGAGCACAGCTATCGAGGACAGACCGAGCGCGCGAATCGCGTGCTCGGTGACGTCGTGGAGAGCTACGCACACTTGTTTCCGCGGTAGAGAGACTGCTTGCCGATGGCAGAGTTTGCCATCAACAACTCGGTGCATGCGTCGACAGGGCATATATCGTTTAACGTGAATGCCATGCGGCATCCTCGCCTTCCGAGGTTCCTCGGAACGATGGATTCCTCCTTAAGTGGGGGAGGATCTTTGGTTGCGCCAAACCCACCGCAAAAGAACACTGATACCAACGTGGTATTAGCAATGGCGACGCGAAGTCAAGTTTCTCGTTCTGGAAACGAGACGACGGCAAAGAACACTGTGTCTGTGTGAGGCACAGGCGCAGTGAACAAGATAACGCCTGTACGGGGTACAGACAGCGCGTAGGTTGGGCCTGCTGCGGCGAAGAACACGTCTGTGCGGGGTACCGACGACGCGCAGGCCGGGCCTGCTGCGGAGAAGGAAGCCGTGCTGATCAAGCCATTCTGCACGCAATCGCTGGGCTTTGTTCAGCACCGACAAGCCGTAGTACGGTTTGTCCAGGACGCAATAGCAGCTTCTGAACAGAAGCTAAGCGCAGACAACGTCGGTAGAAGCAACAAAAATGAATTCAAAAAGGGTTCATTACCTCTGTTAGCTACACAGAATCCACCACGACATGAAGTCTCTGACTTCGGTGCAAGAAGCTTGCTCCGCACTTCATCGACACGCTCACAGTATGGAAACGGCATGGCAACGCGTATGCGTTGGTCACACCGCCCATCATGCGACTCCATCCGACATTTTTCGTCGGGCGGCTGAAGCCTAACGAGCAACATGAGCCATCTAGTTTTGATGGTCGAGGACGACGAAGCGGCATGATCCAGCTTCTCGAGTGCGACGACGCGGTTGCGCAGGCGCCTCAGCTCCGATCCAAGTGTGACTTGGATGATTGAAGCGGATTGAGCAGCCGCAGCTACCTGCGCCTTCTGTAGGCACAGCTCCTGTTGCAGGGCTGTGAGCTCCGCGCTCTGAGATTGTTCCAGAGCGACGACACGATCGTACAGAGCGTGAGAGCCTTGGTCAACCTGGGGTTGACCAAACGGATGGTATCTTCCCGCCCCCGCCGCTGCGTGCCGCACACGGCTCGACACGTTGGATTCACGAACGAGTCGTAGCCTATAAAGCCCAGAAAAGGAACCGAGATCAGGCTCGTCTTCGTATTCGTTGGAGAGGATTTTCTCCCTTTCAAGATACATGAGAGCCACGGGATGGCCTGATCAGGGACGTTCCGGAAAATGTGAGGGCGTTCGAAGCCCAGAACCGAGTGCAGGCATAATGCCTGCACTAACTCTGCTAATGCCACCAGCACAAGGTGCATCACGGTGCTCAAGAAGAGCACGGAGGTCTTGCAGAGAAGCGGGTACACGAACGGAAGTGTACCCAAGAACATCTCGTTCAGTAAGGCGCACTGTCCCGAAACGGCAGTGCGAACACTCAGTTTCAGGTGGAGCTGCGCAAGGCATTCCCGCTCCCATAGCGTCAATATGGAGGCGATCGATGAGAAGACGTTTCGAGAAGGTCTCGAAGCGCTGGCGAGCCGCGCCAATTCGCTTGCGGTAACCTTTCGCATTGTTGTTGAAGCTCACAACAAATGCGTTCCAAAATTGACAAAGTGCCACCCACTCGGCTTCTGCGCGAAGTTTTCTTCGACGCATTCTATCGGAGATCATGGAAGAGTCCGATGTATTGGTCGCGCCTTTGATCCGTTAACGGATCAGTGGCAGTGCATGTCGACGGCCTCAGCGTCATCGTTGATGGCGCTGCACAGATATAATCCTATGTTCGGCGCGGCACTCGCCGCCGAACCTGTCAGCGATTTCGGATGCAGTTGGCATCCAGGGAGCACGTACTGTAGGTGCAGTACGTGGAGGAGAAGGCGGCACCGGAACAGGTGGCTGTGCCTCTTCTTTTTTTTACGCGAACGCTTCGATTTAGGAGCGTCTGGATCAGCGTCCCGGTCACGCCGCGACCCAACAGGGAGATCGGGCGTTGGTTCGGTCGACTTAGAGTCGACAGCTGAAGACGAGGTGACCTCGTCTTCCATGAGGACATCTTCAATGCCAGACCCATAGTCAATGGGTATGTATCCATCAGCAGAAATAATTGGCGAGCCCTCATTATGACTGACAGTTTGGCAGGCGTAGCTTGTGCGTGCTTTGGCTTAAGCATAGCGTGATATTGAGCGACAGAAAGATTACCTTCTGTCGCGGGCGTGTTCGCTTACGCGGACACTGAAGCGATGGTGCCTGCAGGTGCAGACACAGACGTAACAGGGTCTACCGGAGCAGACTCTTCCGCGGATGTATCTTCCTCGGCGAGTTCATTACGAAATGAGCTCGGGTTTCTCAAACGTTTTGACGGCCTCGTCAATACTTTGAATGATGTGTTGAGACTAGCTTAAAGGGGGGGGCGGGATTATACGCAAGTGGCTACACATAGCCACTTGGTTACGAAAGAGGTTTTCCACGTTGGTGTAAGATACACTAAGGGCTACATTTGGCAGACTGTTGGTCTGCACGCAATCAAGACATTCATTGGTTGACAGTAAATATCTTCAAACAATTAGAATAATAGGATTCTGTCAAACATTCGTTGATAAATACCTTTCATTTATAATTTAAGATTAGGAGGAAAACCCAAACAAAACAAATAAGCAGCTATCATTTTACCGGAAATCGGCTTTGCTTTTCTATATAAAGAAAATTGATACTTTCGGACGAAAGTATTGTTAATCTAAGTGAAACACAAGTTACGCTTCTTCATACACGTGCGCTAACGTGTAAGTCGAAGTAATGGGCTTAAAGTAGGCCCATTACAATTGCGGCCAAGCCGTCGTCGGTAAATGGGTACGTTTAACTATCTAGCATAGCTAAACCTAATCAAATGCATGACGTGAGGCTTTCAGCCAACGCACTGAGATGCATTGTTAACTCTCCGGCTTATGTACTGAGAGTTTGTTAACTCCCTGGGCTCTCCGTACTTCTGTGTGTTTCACACGTAGAACCGTTACATTTCTTTTATCTCTCGAAAGCTACGGAATGTTTAAAATTAAAGAAGTTGTGGTCGCCCAAAATTTCTATCTCCTTTTCAAGCCCTCAAAATGACGATACATTTAGGAGTATTGAGGGCTCACTATTTCTTCAGTTTTTGAGACTCAAATGTTATTCAAAAAATAACACTTAAATCAAAAGCTATTATATAAGGGTAGTTTTACGTTTTTCAATGAAAGCTTACATCAAATGTCACAGCTCTTGCTAAGTGCGAAACATAATTGGTCAAATCGACAACTCTATTATAAATGGTTCGTAAGCATCATTTTGTTTGAAACCGTTTCCATTTTTATTCTTAAGTATGGCAATTTGCATGGAAAAGCGGTATGCAAATCGCCATAATATGGCGATTTGCTATTATATTATACGAGTACCGTAAATTAAAAATGGCCACACCTCCAAAAACCATTGTTTTTGTCTAAGAAAGAGGTGACAGGAAATATCCGGTAGCGATTGTACTGTACAGAAGCTGTTTTATTAACTACCGTTATACCAGTACTTCTTTTAGTCCGCGAAAAAAGAAGCATTCACAAATTATCTGTGCTTGATCAACCTACCTAGACGAAATTTGAGCTATATCCAGTCTTCTCCGGGCCAAGTTCGACCTCATTTGTCGGCATACTTGGAACTTGTTTCGCACGATCAGTCTGAATAGCCTGAGCTCTTAGTCGACGCTCGTTATCGCGTTTTTCATTGCGATTGGTGTAGAGAATAGATCCGAATGTGGCGAGTACGACTACTACAGCAACTGAAATGGACGCAGTCATCGGAGGCCCATATTGTCCATCGTTCTTTTTGACGCTCGTCGTTTCTGTGCATCGCGGGCCAGTCCAAGTATGTGAAGCGCACTCGCAACGTCCCTTAGTACAGTAGCCAGTTCTCACGCTTGAAGCACCTCTAGAAGCAATAGTGTAATCGTCATCGAAGTTGCACGATGCTTTGCCAGATACCTCAACCACCAAATTGTCAAAATCCTGGTAGCTGTCGATGTTGTCTTCAATCCACTGCTTGGTTGGGTGTGATGCTGGGTCGCAAATATAGGCCACCGTCGAGGTATCTTGATATACGCGACCGTAATCAATCTTCATTTTCATTGGGAAAGCATCGCAAATAGCGTTCGTCTTCTTATCCTTGCCATCGCCGTAACATCCAGAGGCTCCGGCATTGGGTGACCTGGACCCCATGAGCTTGAAAGGGCGACATTAAAGATTATGTACATGGGCTCTTCGATCATGATCTTCTTGGGGTTCATCTGCGCGGCATCTTGCGGTGGATTGGTCACGGTAGCGGCAGCGATTTCGAACACGGGGTGGCCTTCCACTTCCCAACGAACGTAGCCTTCATTGCCAGGGACCCACTCTACAGTGTATGTGACCCAATCCGTGTATGCGGCGAGGTGAATGCCCCAATTTGCTGACAGCGCGTCCAATTGATACATAAAAGAAGATGCCGCACTGGTAGAGCCTCCAGACTCCGCGCATTTCGAGTCTGCGTTTCCGGCATTACACACGTAGGCACCTGTGTACCCATTAATCTTTGGGAAACTAGTACCTTGAGAGTTTATTCCTTAGTGATCTGTTCCGTTGTCCATCAAGCCAAGATCCGCATGCACGTCAAATGATGCCGGGCAGGTCTCAATCGTACATGCATTCTCCGTGATACCCTTAGTCAGCGAAGCATTAATTTTCGCAAAGGTTTGGATTTCATCACTCTTCGAAGCGCACATTATTGGCGCCGTATCGCATTCCTTGGTACCACGACTTATATCCACGGTTCTTCTTGTAGTATGCCGTCGGGACGTCGGCACTGTTAGCCCCGGGAGTTGTACAGGAGCCGTAAGCATAAATACACGACGGATTGACCTTTTCGAAATTCTTGCGGAAATCATCTGGCATACCTGGACCGATTTGCATGGGTGAGGAAATTTCGGAGCCTCAACCCTCCAGAATATCGATTTCAGGCGCTCCACGACCTTGGTAAGGGCTCATGCCCGAACCGGGATCGGGGTCGCACGCACTGATACGCTGGTTTTGGGTGTCAAAGACGGTGTCGTTGCATTCGTTGTTTGAGAACGGCCACAAGCGAGCTGTCGAGCCCGTGAAGATAGCTCGCCCCAAGTTTCCAACCATCCATATACCAGGCCAAGTAGGATAGTATTCAATACTCTCCGCTCGAGTGGTTTTAGTGGCGTTACTGAGGTCGGGATTCCCGGAGCTCTTGCCCACGACACCAGGCAGCTGAACGCGCAAAACGGCAAGCCCTCCTTGAAAGCAGAACTTGTTCCAACCCTGCACCATTGCTCCTCGATAGTAGAACGAAACACTTTCGAATCCACGAGGTGTAATGTAGTTGTTTCAGACGGTAAGGTTCGTTTCGTCGATGTCTGCCTCGATGTAAAAGTAGCAGTTGTCATCTTTATCGCACTCCGTAGATGTCATGTTGATGGAGTAAATCTCCAGCGCAGCGTTCACACCATCAGGTTTCTCAATTGCGGTCCAGAGGTGGTCTGCTCCTGCCTCGAACGTACGGCCTTCTTGATTAAACTCATCGCTCATGACAAGCGACCAGGTCTGTCCACGAGATGACTTGTACGATTGAGCGTCTTCCGGTGTGTCAACATCCACCCATGGCAAAACGTGCGATTGAGTCGAGTAAGATTTTTTAGCTATCGTTGTAGACAGTATGGCTGCAACGGCAACGAAACCTTTCCAATTAGCCCAATGTGGCATAGTCATTTACAGTAGCACGCTAGTTGGTGAGTCAGACTAAAAATGAGATGGCTTTCTGAAGCAAGTTGTCGTAAAGTGGTATGCTATAATACGTAGTGCATTATTTTTATGACGATGAACCATTTCGCGTCGAGTAATACGCATTTACACGACCGTACAACGTCATGAAAAAAAAACTTCGGCGCAACTCCAGATTATGTCGATAGCGCAACTCAAAATGATTTATCGATTACGCTACCAAACGTTGATGCCTATGTGACCATTGATACTGAAGGCGGGATACGTAAAAAAAACCAGCACACTCCAGGAAACGGCATTCTCTCTTCCTTCACCGAAGCATAATGAGCGCTACAGAATTGTATGATGGGCTATTGGACGCCCTCATCCTTGCCACACCGTCATTGTCTGGGGTTGTAGAGTCCCACAACTCCCTCCAAGCCATCTCCGACGCGTCTTCTCCACAAACCGACTCACGTCAATCGAAGCCAGCAAAGCTTGGGCCGGCACTGCCAAAGCCGAAGAAGAAGCGCGTGCGTCGTGAAACTCGCGAGATCAATTACTTGCGTGAACAGACACGCATACTTGAGCTAAGACTGGAGCGACTTCAGAAGCGAGTGCCTACCAATCGCAACTCGAGCTCGATCCTTTGTGCCAACCATAAATCGGCACGTCCGTCGGTGTGGGAGAGCATCGCTGAGCGTCAACTGAAAGAAAGGTTTAAAGGCGAACTGGTGCAGAAGGATTTACGAGCCGCCTGCTCGGTGCAGGCGAAACTCTTGCAGGAACTGAAGAAGCAACTCAGACTCTGCGCGGATGACAAGAAACTATCTGCACTGATGTCGGCAAGGCTCTGGGATCTGCTGAAAGATGAAAACTCGGACATTTACGCTGAACAACTCACTCAAGTGGCCAAAATGTATTTGCAGATGCAACAACAGGTCGCGCCGCCCAGCCATGTTCTACAACTCGCGACCGATCTCACTCAAGGAATTGACGTCTTGAAAAAGAAATCCTACTGGGGTTGTATTCGAGATGCATTGTAAGACGTCGGTTCCTTTCGACTTGCAAGTTGCAGCCAATGCATATTGGCGGTTGACTGCCTACGAGGCATTCAGCAGACAAGGGTCTCTACAGCAGGTGCGACGTCAGTCTACAAGGTTCTTTCTCCTTCTACCAGTCTCTTATAATCTTGCTGCTCTCTCTCTACCTCTCCTACCAGGACTTGGGCGCGAAAGGAGATGTTGCCTCGACCTCATTCAACTTACAAGTGGCGTGTGAAGGGTTCACAGCAACTGTGCGTGGGAAACACACTTGCAGGAGGTACACCAACGACGACTGCGAGTCTATAGTGTGGACTGGGTATGCTGATCCCGTCGAGCTTAACGGCACCAAGTTCTCAGGAATGCAGTGCAGAAAGACAGGCTGGATTAAGCTGCGACGAGTGCCGGCTGGGGCGACTTTGGTAGAAATGTACTCGGAGATGACCCCGCTGTTTAAAGACGGGGTGGAAGACCAAAACTGGCAGATCCACGCTCTCCTTGAGTCCATGGCCACAGCACACAGCAAAACGAACGATATTTACTGCAAAATGGTGCGCGATGTTTTACTGGAGGAAGACTGGAAAGCAGCGTACGGGAGTGACACTCCAGTCTTGTAGAAACAAAACCCGAAAGTTGCTGCTGTATACTTGTTCATATTACTTTTTTCTTTTTGATTAAAATACTGCTGCATTGGGGACTCTTACCTTGAGGACTGGCAAATTATGGCTCGGGAAAAGATAAGTTTCGAGTAAACGTTGGAGTACTCGCTAGAAACGGATGCTTGTCGAGAAGAAAATATGCAATAAGATTATGTAGATAACTTTGGATGCTTTTCAAGTATGTGTCTGGTTCTCCTACTCTGAAGTATGTCCTATTGGGCACCAACATTGTGAAAGTATCTTTTTCTTGAGCCTACATGTATTTGTTTTGAAATATTTATGAACTATTCCAAACTGCAATAAATTATTGCCAACAACTAATTACTAAAATAAAATGAATTATTTTATATAAGAAGGGCAGAGTTTTCAGTAACAGATAGCTGTCGTCCTGCTCGGATGTATGGCATACCTTATTGAAAATTGTCGGGGACAAATACCGACGCTTGGTGGAAGGGTTTGAGCTCATGAATGTAAGTTGAATAAGTAAATTGATTGGAGAGCCAGAAAAACTTCTTGACTAACACGCCCTGCTCTCAGGACACAACCTTTTGCGCTATGCAGCTTCGACTCAAGGCCAGTCTGTCGAGGTCGTACCATCAAGATGGCGCGGTACAGCGCTTCTGAAGCATGCCACTGCTATTATTGCCGCCATCTTCTCTTGTTGTCTTAGCCGTCATGCCAACGCTACTGCACGCACCATTTGTTGAGCACGGTGTCGCTCGGTCCCAACATTCCAGAATTGAGCAGTATGGGTCGTCATTGTCAGACACGGGTCCCCACTGTCGAATAATATGCGATTTTTTGCGGCGAGTCCCATGTTTGTAGTTAATTTGATAGGTATTGTAGAAAATCCAAAAGTATTGAAAATTTTTACTCGAATTGTCGCCGACACTCCGTCAAATACTGTACCGGTACACTCGATTTTCCGCACCCTATTGCACAACAATCTCAACAAAATCCATCGACGTCACCGGATTACTGACATTACCGGTATTCTTAGTTTGTTTGTGGGATCTCGTCCCGTCAACCACGATGACGAAAGGAGATAATCATCGCGTCCTCGCATCCATCGTAATCTTTACCTGAGCTACCGAGCCTCTGGTCACAACGGAATTGTATATCACCCCCTACTATTCAATGAGCCACGCGCTTCATCCCGACGACTTCAGTGGTCAACCCGATGAAAATGGGGCGTGGAGCCTGGAGCCATCGGTTTCTATTGACTACTGTGCTTTGCCGCCGAGCATGACTGACGGAGACCTGTGCGTAAAGCCACCATCCAACCCCAAGAAGAAGCGGGTCCGACGACAAAAGTTAGAGCTCGAGCACTTGCGCAAACTCGTGGTTAGCTTAGAGGAGCAAATGCTGACACTACAGACCACACAGCCTCTGAGTGCCGAGCAGAACTTCAAAAAAACCGCTGACAACACTCCATCAATATGGAAAGAGATTGCTGAGCGACAGCTGAAGGAGAGAGCTCGAGTGGAGGAAAAGAATCAAAACCTCCGCTCTTCATTAAAGGGACAACTCAAGCTTGCAAGGAGGCTAGAAGGGCTGCTACGTAAGCGTCCAAGAGATGAGGTGTGAATGAGCTAGAAAATGAAGTCACAGCATAATTTTAACGACTTTTATATGCAGGAGACCGAGATTCTAGCCAATTCTAACCGAATCAAGTCTTGGCCAACGGACGATGAGATCTTTGCAGATCAAATGGCACATGTCCAACGTGCAAACCTTGAAGTGGATCGAATTTTTGGAGCTCCGGAATTTGTCGACCAATCAACCTCGTTCTACAACTTAAGCGTCACGAGCGATTCGAACTCAGACACTGGCGTGGCGTTTGTGAAGAAAGCAAGCTCACTGATACCGTTCGACCTCAGAGTAACGCAGAAAGCGTTATGGCGTGCGTTAGCTGAAGAAGGTACCACGAAAGACAGCTACTTTTTAGATAAACGTCTGTCCACCGACGACGTGGTCGTATCCTCGTATGGATTGCATTTTCGAGCTGGTGCACTCCACGCTAATGTGCTCGGGAAGCAGACCTACCGCAATTGTTGACGACCAAGTCGTTATCATGTGGAAATGGGTCGTAGATCCTGTGGAGATCAACGGCACGAAATTTCGCGGCATCCGATGCCACGAGACGGGATGGATCCTACTTCGCAGTGTAACCATTGACACCCCGAACACTTCCGAAGTCGATTCGGTTTTTACCAATGTCCCATCTATCTCCATGTCGTCGACGAAGCTACAATTGTTTACCAAGATGACAATGGAGCTTCAGGACGATATTATCGGTCAAGACCTTCAGGTGGGAGCGCTTACGGATGTTGTGGTCACCTTACACGACACACTTTCGGAAGTGTGCGGAAAGATGATCACTAATGTGCTTGTCGAGGAAGATTGGAATTTCAACGGCTGGTGGGGCATGTAGCTTTTTACTTTGAAGTGCACATTATTGTTTATGGAAAACATAACTAAGAAAATACATGTTCCGTAAGTAGATGATAAAACACACGCAGTTTTAAGTTGTTGTCGGAAAATGCTTGTTTAATAAAGTCATCTTAATAATATATTTTCGAAAATATAAACAATGTTTTTGCCTCTACGATAGTTGAGTCTAAAAATGTGTATTCGTTGTTCTTAGCTGCTAAACAAGGATCGGAAGATCTGTATGAACTAAAACAACACTCACTGACGCATACAGTATCGCCCCTCTGCTTTCACTTAAAACCCGTACATTTTTGATGCTTTATCATACCGAAATTTAGGACTTTTTTTCAATGTTCTACGTCTGAGCCCTTGTATTTCTAATGCCCCGACTAATTAGATATATTTAAATTTATACTATCTCACAGGCAGGTACCTTGTACGTACACTCAGTGATCGGTACATGTTCACTGGAAACTGGGTTATCATGATAGAACAATGCGCCGTAGAATCCCCCGACAAGCCTAAGAAGAAGCGCGTGCGGCGTCAGAAATTGGAGCTTGAGTACCTTCGGGGCCTGGTGGGAAAGCTGGAGCAGCAGATGACGCAGCTTAAGAGTCGACAGAGGGAGGTCAGTGAGGTTTCAACCAGTGCCAATACCAAGACGTCGATCTGGAAGGGCATTGCAGAGCGACAACAAGCGGAGCGAGCGCGAGTAGAGGAGAAGAACCAGAAACTCAGGGCATCTCTAGAGGGCCAGCTGCAACTCGCTACCAAGCTGGAGCGGCTGCTGCGTAAGCGTCCGAGAGACGAGGACGTGGCCGAATTGGCAGACCACAAGCGCTTTAAAACGCTAACGATGGCTCCAACGGACGATGATATATTTGCAGATCAATTGGCTCATGTGCAACGCGCACATCTTGACGCTAACGATATATTTGGTGGCCCGGAGTTCATGGACCGAGCTGCGTCGTTCTGCAATTTACAGGTGACAGACGACTCGGCATCCGATACAGGTCTTGCATTTGTCACAAAGGCGAGCTCCATGTTGCCGTTCGATGTGCACGTAACAGAGAAAGCCTTCTGGAGGGTCTTTGCGGAAGAAGGACCGAGTAAAATGAGCTATTTCCATGAGGAAAGACTCGCGACGGACAATCTAGTGGCTCGCTCTTATGCTCTTGAGTTTAAACCTGGCTCGTTTCAAACAAACGTGCGGGGCAAGCAGACGTACCGCAAGTACGTTGACAACGACTGCGTTTTGATCATGTGGAAGTCGCGTACTGAACCAATAGAGATCAACGGCGTCAAGCTCAGTGGACTGAGATGCAATCAGGTCGGTTGGATTGTACTGCGAGGCGTCAATCTTCCAGCTGAAGATGTACAATCTGGACTCATTGATACGTCGAACATTATGATGTCGACTTCCCTACAGTCTTACTGTAAGATGACGCTCGACCTGCAAGATGATATTGCCGACCAAGAGCTGCAAGTCGGAGCGCTAACGAATTTCGTGGTGAATTCGCATGATGTCATCACGGATGTTTGTGGAAAGCTCATAAATCAAGTGCTCGTTGAAGAAGATTGGAATCTCAACGGCTGGCTGGACAATCTGGCCCTGTAACCGTTTAGGCTCGAGTAGCATTGACATACATCGATTAATTCAACCTTCAGCTACCCTGACAACCCTTACGTAAAGAATGTCATTCTGGGTAATAAGGATCTGTGGCACAGTGCTGGAGACGCTCTTGAATGATTTTCATAAACTTGCGTAGTCTGCAACCAATGGACGTAAGCAGCATGTGTCGTGCATCGACTGCTTGAAGAGACGTCGGATCCAAATGCTTAACTTGCAATCGATTGCAACTCTGGACAACGGAGGACAGCCGCTGAGTTGGGGAGGGCAAAATGACGGTCCAGTGAAGCGTTTCAAACTCGAGTTCACCAGCCTGAAGCTCCCAAGTCGTTTTCCCGACGAGAACAAATCGATTGTCCTCTTCGTACTTGCGATAGGAGCTCACCGCATCGATGCACCATAACGTTTTCGTCTTGTCACTGAACGGCAATGTGAAGCTCATTTCAAGAGCAGTGTCGTGCCTTTCTCGGATCTGAAAGAGCACACAACCAATTCACAAATGGCAAGTCTGGTGAGTGCTGGTCACGAAGAATCACCTGATCGCATTCAACGTAGGAATCTGTAGAGCTTATCTGGTTCCGTGTCCTTTCTGTTGACGAGCTGATGCCAGAGAATCATCCCAGATCTCGTGATTGTGCAAGGCAGTGGCGTAACTGAGATTGTCTCGACGCAGTTCTCGCTCGGTACCCCACACACCTCGAGATGTTTCTTGAGCGTTTTCAGCGCTACACTCAGGTAGTTATCCCATTCAGGAAATACTGAAGCTGCCAGAGGAAGCATCTACTCGAGACTGCCAGAAATGTTTTTAAGGACGGAGTTGGCCGTGTTATGCTGAGTTAAAAGCGCTTCTGAGCTCTGCGACAGAACTTGGATTGCCTGAAAATGCGGCCAGCGTTAGCACAATACGAGAGCAATGTGATCGATTAATTTTGTCGAACCTCGAGGAGATCACTGCGTTGCAACTGCATTTGGATCGATGCGAACAGGTTTAAGTGGCTAGACAAGGTCTTCTTCAGTTTTTGGTTCTCGTTTTCCGCTTTTTCGCTGTCCTGGCGGATAGTGGCTAGACGTTGCCAATGTGGCTGCGATTGCTGAGAAGACAGTATTGTTTCTCCAGTGTTGGCTTGCTGCTGTTATTGCGACAGTTTGGTTTTCGAGCTCTTGTGCTTCTGATCGTAGCAACAAGAGCTCCCTTCTTCTGCGCCGCTGTAAGTCGGTTGAGTACGGCACAGACCCAACTCTCCGGATGCGCTTCCGTTGTGGGCGCAAACTTGTCGGTTTACGAGTCTCCAATGGAGTGCGTTCGCTGGTCGTAGTAGACGAATTAATATTGTCGCTCTGGACACTAAGAACTTCGTCGAATTGATAATTCTCAATGCCTTCCAATAGCTCCATCAGCTCCGACATGGTCGCAGGAACCTCTTTGTCACTGTGCATTGTCCAGACGCTCTTCAAACGATTCAACTAATAAATGAGAGGCTGTGTACGCTGTGCGTCAAAACGATTTTTGCTGCTGTGCGGACTGCATCAGCACATCCGCAACAGTTTGACGAACTGCATCCCGAAGGAGAAAAATGCTCTTGTCGACGTTTTCTCTTGAAAATCGCGTTTTTCTGGCATTGCGATCAAAGTGTCAGCAAGCAACACCAGTGGATGTGGCAGCAATCTTGTGGCTGACTCCAACGCCAACGAGTTACATGTATCACTCCGGCCTCCACTCCATAATCTCTTAGAACACGTAATCAACCACCTCGTTGAACCCTTCAGGAAACACGTCATTTGTGAACACGGGTACAGTACTGTACACTGTAGAGCCAACCCTCTCCTTCCCAAGTTCCTTACACCCCTATAAAAATGACAAGGTCGCCCCGCCCCGTTTGCTGCGGGGTTCCACGCTGCATCGCTAAATAACGCTCTTTGATCTGCTTTCCCATGGCACGCAGAGCACGATCGCGAAGTTATCGATGTGTTCTCCGTCGATCACAGTGCAACCTACAGCTTTTTCGGCAGCGACCGAGTGGTGGAACTGGATAAAAGACTTGTTCGCTGGGTCTAAGGTAAACGACGAACAGCGAGCCATGTACATTCGCGGAAGCAGAGAGCTCCACACCGCAGCCCATAGAATCAGTCGCTGATTCCCGTCGTCGCTTTGCCGTGTCGAGCCAAATCCATCGAGAAGCACAGTCTGGTATAGTGCGGCCGCCTCGACAGTGAATTGTTGCTCACTCACATCACCCGGGTCTTTTGCAACAGAAACCAAACAACCAACAAGTATAAATACTGTTTCATTTGTAAAGCTATACACAACTACGATAACTTACCGGGACGCAGCGTGGACCAAGAAGATCGACTTGCTTCTAAACTTGTACGTGGCCCTTTGGACCCAGCAGCTTCACAGCGTGATCTAATGTGCAGTTTATCGGCGTTGTCGTCGTTGTTGGCCCAGCTATAGGGTCAAGGCGAACGTCGAAGTTGAATGAAAGCGAACTGTCCGCGGCCGTGCCATTGAGCTCAGTGTTGGCTTGCGTGTTCATTCGCTGCAGTGTCGCTTCGATCTCGCACCGAACAGTAGCCGGGTTAATATGCAAAGTGGTCGTGTTGCAGCAATGCGAGCACTGCGAGAGTTGCGTCGTGGCGTCTGACTGGGAGCAACTCGCTCCACGAGTTTCGTGCATGACCGAACGCTACACAGCAAAGCGTCAGATCCGAAGCTTGAAATACTTAAAGGATCATTGCAATTGAATGTTCTACCGGTGTGGAAGGCCTCTTGTGCATAATGGTTGTCAAGGCCTTGGCCACCTTCTGCTCCTTTAGCAGTGCCCTTCGCAGCGTCATGTTCAGCAGCTCGGCCTCAAATCGTTGCTGTTTCTTCGCTTGCCAGTCGTTTTCGACTGCAGTAGCCCCTTCTTTTCTTATACTACATAGGACTTTTAGTGGCTGTCTGGCCCACCAGCATTGCTGGCAGCAAGGGAGACAGGTTGCCGGAGTCCGACCCGGACGGGGCTCGACTTTGCTGTAGCTGTGCCTCAAGTTGTTGCGCCGTATCCTGCAAACGCTACATGCAGTGCTCCTGTTTCTTTCGCTGCCGCCACTGCGCACCGTGCACACGCTGGCGTTCTCCTCGCGCGCGCTTTGGGCGAGCGAAGGACATCACGTCGCGTGCAATGCGTAGAACGAACTGCGAGTCTGAAAATGTGAGACATGTTATTAAAGCTCTTGACATTTTTTCCGGCACGGAATGGTGTATTGATGAACCCTTCAGAAGAAATTCCTGCTCAAAGAATACCCTCCGACAAGAATAAAGAATCGGCCCCCGAAGTGAAGGCTTGAAGAAAACAAGCCTAAGATAAAAAATGCATATTACATGTACCCCTCCCTCGAAATATGGAATACAAAATTATGAAAATAGCTGTTCTGAGGTGCTTAACTAAAGACAAGTAGCTTTTGTGCAGCACGTCCAAAGTAGACAAGCAAGGACACTTGCTGCTTGCATCCTTCCTTCGTGCTGAGCTCGTCTCGCAGCTCTCTCTCTGCATCGTTCTAAGCCCCTGTACACTTCTATCCGACACGCCCTGTTGCTTACTAGAAGTATTTGGCTGCATCGGCGTCGTAGCCTCCATGGGCATTTGCAATGTCGATGGTCAGCAAGCACTTGCGGTGCTATGTTCTGAACTGACATATTGGTGGCACTGGCTTGGAAAATTGAAGAGAGATACTCTGCGACTTCTGTAAATGTACCATAAAGATGGTACACCGGCATCACAGCAAAAATACCCTTAGATAGGCATAAACGTTGGTTCCCGATGCTATGACTACTGAAGGGTTCATCTGCAGGCAAATAAAGTGTACGCCGATGTTTTTTTTGCAATCTCATGATTGGAAGTTTTGCCAGATTGATGACCTCTACTGTAGAGGTCATCAATCTGTAAAGTCTACACTGTTGACTGAAGAGTCTACTGTAGCTGCAAGTACATGTACAGTGTAGCAGCCTGCAACACGCAGACTCTAGCGTGATGCACGTTGATAACCAATGTTCGTAGACGAGTTCGGGAAGCTCATTCCGGCTTTTGCGCACCCGAGACAACACATCAACCATGAGATTTCGATTTGGAAATGGCGAAGAGCAATTTTTCGTGGCGGACATTCTTTCATTGTTTGAAGTCGAGAACGAGGAGAGCTGCGCGACTTCTAGCTACGATAATTCGAGCACAGACTCGGGATCTATGAGCATCCGTGTCGACGATTCGAGGGCGGGTGGACCGCGCTCGAGAATGCGATTAAGAAGCAAAATCGAGCGCATGCGTCGTGAAATTCAAACCTTGGGAGTGAAGCTTGCAGATCTACAGCCCCCCGGAACTACCGGCGGAAGAGGACTATACGTTGCAGCTACAGCTGCTAGACTCGAGAGGCGCGCTGACACCTCGCGGTGGAAATCTATTGCAATGAAAAACAGGCAGCGGCGAGAACGCGCAGAACACGACAACAAGGTGCTCAAGAGGATGATTGCTGCGCAAAACATGCTTGCAAAGTCAATCCTCGAAGGGCGCTTTCGGATTTCGAGTAAACTCCGTAGCACAGTAAGCACTTCGTCGCACCGAAGATATCCACGCATCAACGTGTGAGCTACCGAATTACTTGCTGTTGCTGATTGATCATAGCCAGTAGTAAATAATGCACTTCCAACAACATGAAGGTATAGCAGCGGAAAAGAGGAAGATGGGGCTTTCAGCTCTGCCTCGTACATTGTATAACTACGTATTCAACAACGATCACATTGATTGCTAGGTGGGCTGCAAGTTTCTCATAACATTACCTGATGTCATTTTGATCATTGGGCATATCAAGTGACTGCATTATATACTCAAACCCGCATTTGGAATAGGCAGATCATGCAACCTCTTGAACACACCAGAAAGCGACGAGGTCAGCGTGTGTTGAGCAACCAGCAGCGACTTGAGCGCCTTGTTTTGCTGTTCTGCTCTTTCTCGCTCCTGGTTTTGCTTCATCGCGATGATCCTCCATAGAGATTCTGCGTGATCCCGCTCAAGTCTGTCTTCTTTGGCATGCAGGAGAGCGTCAAGCTCCGACTCCAGGGTTTGCATTTCACGCCTCAAAATCTCGATTTTGCCCTTGTTTCGGAGTCGCGGGCGCGTCGTAGCAGTTTTCCGTGCTCTCTTCGGCTTACTTGCTCGCTCTTCTTCGTCACCTTCACGGCACCGAGGACGCAATCGCTTTAGAGAACGCGAGGTTGGCAGCCAACTTGGCTGGACAGCGGGTACAGTATCGCGTTGAGGTATCTCAGTCGCTGCCCAGCTCTCTAGGTCAAGGAGGTCAAGGAGATCCGTGGCAAAGAGCTGCTCATCGAATGCTTCGGGCTCAACGAATAAACTCGAGGGAATTGGTTCAAGTAGCAGACTCACGTGAGCTCAGTGATAAAACTTAAAGTGAGCGACTGCGTGAGCGGGGATGTGAGTTTTCCATCCAAAGGAGTCAACATGAAGAATCACTTGCAGCGATTACGCGATTGTATTTTTATTGCGCGGTGTTGTGGGGGCGCGAGAGTGTTTGTCCCGTAGAAAGATTACTTTATCTAACCACTTGTACATGTACCGGTATTGACTTCCGTTTGAAACTTCGATTTCAATCTCCTTCTGGATTGAATACGATGGATTGAACTCAGACGGCAGCGGCCCGAATCTAAAACTGATAGCGTTATTAGTTTTACATCCGCAATTGTGGATAGCAAATTCAAGTACGTCAGGCACGCCTGCGCCACCAGAGTAAATGCTCAGGGAGATAAAAAATCAAATACCACCAACTTCGCCAGCATTAACGTATGCGCCTGCCATGGAAAAGTGCACAGTCTCCTCGACAATTAAACTGTCAGCAACCTTCCGTCGATGCCTTGTCTGTCAGTAGTTTATCCTGGACACGCTCATGGAACCTACGCAATTCACCACTCAGTAAAGTGGTAGCACTATTGCCGACACGGTCCCAGTCAGATTCTGTCCCCGTTGTTGCACCATCGTTTTGCTTCGTGTCCAGTTCACTTGAGACCTCGTAACACGTGTGCAATACTGACTCCTGCTCAGGGTTATATGCCGACCGTAACAGCATAACCCACCCCTTTTCACGGACACGCAGCAAGCACAAATTGCTATTGGAGCCCTTGTCTCTGGCATCCTTGCTTGACGGCAGCATTATAGTTGTCCAAATGTACACAATGCGATCCCGCTCCTCGAATTTCCGTACGAAGGCAGCCCCATGAAGAGTACAAGGCGTCAATTCATCACTCAATGTAAGGAAGAAACTCTTTGCGATAGAGTTCGTGTTCGCATGCACCCGGTGAACGTTGTATGTGCAGCATTTGCTATCCCTAAGTTGCATTCCTTGCCAGATCATGCGACTCGCAGTGCCCAATCCGTTTGCCAGTGGCGTCACTGATGACAGCTGCACGAACTTTCTTCCCGATATCGGATCGCGCCTAATCTGCGATACGAACGACGCAGACTTGGTTGTTCCTACACCACTGGTAGCAAATACGTCATGGGCGCTAGCATACATTTGGTCTGCATACTCCCGTAGCTCTCCCAACTGAGAGGTAGCATCATTGCTACGCAAAGAATACCCCGCCAGTATTGTCGACGGCGCACGTACTGCCACATTGATCTCGACGCCCAGAGACTGTAAATTCTCGAGCGCATCCTTCATCGTCCTGGATCGTTTGGCCACTTTAGCCAGCAGCGTCTTTAGCTGAGTATTTAGTTGCTCTGCTTGTTGCCTATGATAGGCTTGTGCTGTTGCCTCCTTCAACCAGAAACTCGGGTCTGTTCTGCAACTTTCCGACGTTAATGACACAACGCGACGGCTTTCCGAGTCGGAGTCCGACAACACTGGAGACGGCAATATGAGTGTGCTCTTAAGACGATCCAATTGCATTTGTAATTGCTCCACTTGCTCCTTCAGCGTTTGCATCTCGTCCTTCTTCTTAGCACGAAGTCGGGCTGAGTACACGGCGTTCTTGCGCTTGCTCTTGACCTTCTCGTACAAGTCCGCGGCTTTCACGTCGCTTCGACGACGCTTGTGAGTTTCTACAAGTTCCCTAGCGACATGGTCGCTGTTGCTTGACGACTCGTCCGTAATGTTGTCATCTCTGGCGTAGTCGAAGCCATCCACGAAGGCCAGCGCTTCCGCTAGCGTCTCCGGATCGCTGGGGCTTATCCATCAGAAATTGAACTACGGTACACGTATATTCGTTTCAGCAGGGTATTCCGTAAGCAGCTGATTACATCATCAGCATCGCATTAGAATGATGGTCATCCTCAGAACTGGTCAAGTGAAGCAACACCCATAGCGATGGTTGCAGGAGGATCTTCGTCTCCCGACGCCACGAGCACAGAGGGTAGCAACTCGCCCATTTCCGCGTTAAATGTGCGCACTACTTGCATCACTACCGCCCCCAAGAAGAAGCGCGTGCGGCGAGAGCAGGTGGAGCTCAAAACCCTTCGCGAACTCGCGGGAAAGCTGGAACACCGCCTGGAGCAACTAAAAAAGCGCCGATTTACCAGTACGCCTACTACAAACCACATCATCAATGGAAACGCCGGTAATAGCAACAGCCAACATGTAAAGTTCGGCCCCATATCTGTATGGGAAGCCATAGCTGACCGCCAATTTAAAGAACGAGCGCGCGTTGAGAAGGAGAATGAAAAACTCAAAGCGGTACTACGTACTCAGACGAACACTTCCCAAGTACTGCAGACCAGAGCCCAGAAGGCCCTAGGAGATAAGGTAAATAGCTACGTGAACTTTTGTAGCAGAGACGTATCAGGCAGTCGCTGACGCTCGTTTGTCTGAGCAGGAACTGATCGGACTCACGATGATGCAATTGCAGGACAAAGGTCCTCGTTACTGGGACTTGGATTCGGGGGATGAGGAAGGAATTTTTGCCGACTTGCTGGCGCTCGTCGTGAGGACACGTCTAAAGCTGCAGCAGCGCCAAGTGGAGGACCCTAGAACTGTGCTATCCTTCGCTACTTGGAGCATCTCAGTGGGAGAGCCGCATGTGAGGAGGGACAGTGAATCAGGCCTTGTTCTGGAGACGCATGGATGCTCTTTACTTCCTTTTAACGTGAAGACCGCAGCCGCAGCATGCTGGAGGATGTTCTCGCTGTCTCCAGTGAACCACAAAGTGGTTGTCAAGGACGTACGAACATGATCAACTGATTGTTTCCAGTTGTATTGGGTATGGACCGTACTAATCTACTTTGTTTTTACTTGAACGACTAGACTGGGGAGAGTGATGTTGCGGCACGATCGTTCACGTGCTCTTCCGTGTACCTTGGCCAGCAGGTCGACGTCCGCGGCAAGCACACGTGCCGTAAGTACGTTGATGTAGATGGCTGCGTCACGATCGTGTATGCTGGACGCACAGGCTCTACAGAGGCAGATACGCATTGTCAAGAAGTTCAACTCCAAAAGACAGGGTGGATCAAAGTTCGACCCCAGTTTTGTAGCGAAAGCTCACACCAATTGTCATCTGTGGTGGTGGAGATGCATACAGAAACAGTTCCGCGCTTTCGAAATGGCAGCATGGGCCAAGAAAAACTTGCGCGGGAGGCCATTGAATGGGCTACGAGGTCTCATCTCATGGTAAATGACTGGTATCGTCAAAAGTTGAGTGAAACTCTAGTGGAGGAAGATTGGAAGGCATTCCGTGGGAGCGACGGCAAGTCTACTTGTTAAAATTTGCTCCTGGCCGCGCAATATATCGATGGAGTACAAAAAAATCACTCGTCGCCATCACCGCGTTTACACGTCGACAAGGCGGCAATGCCAACATCATAAGCAGGGGTTGTGGCCGAGAACAGAACTGTCGTGTTGATACCAAGCGATAAGTCGAGCTGAAGCAAGAGCCACAGGGTAATTCGGTATGGAAACAGACCTGCTTTGGGCCAGCTGCTTCTTTCTTTGAAGTACTATTCATCTTTTACTACTACTTTCTATCTCTTTGATTTTTAACCTCCGACACCCGACACCCATTACATTAGACAATGCTCGCGCTATTAATAATCGATCGACTCTTGCGTAAGTCGTCGTCACAGACGCACATGCAACAAGTTGGTGCACCTTACTATTGAAGAGCTCTTACTTACTTCTGAGTAATGTTTGCAAAGTCCTTGTAAAGTATAGGCGAAAATAAGTCTAACGAGTTGTCTAACAATTATTCCAGTTAAAGCACACGAAATAATTGTTTTGCGGAGACCACCAATCACGATCAATTAAGGTTCGTTTCTGGAATTATAAACTTACTAGCCGAGTGCCGCCGCGGCGGTAAATTAGGTTTAGTTCTAAATGTTTTGGCCTTCCCGGCTCCGCTACGCTTCGGCGGGATAAATATTAAAAATAAACGCTAAGCTCATTCATGTATGCGCCTCGATACTTTAATTTCATTAATCTGGGTCAGCACCATGCTTAAAAAATTCTAATGATCTCGAATCATGATTCTTACTACAGCCTCTTTATTTTTTTTGATTATCACTGTATCTTCATCTTTCATCTGCACTTCTAACAACATTTATACAGACGCTACACTGGTTTACCGTCGTGCTCGATACGACGGGCCGTTTCTGAGCCATGAAACCTAGCTCACACCAACGCAGAAGATAGTAGTGGCGTGTTCAGCTTGCACTACCTACCCCCTTGTACTGCTGTTTACAGTGTTAATCTTGTAAGTAACTAACCTCTCATACCAAAGCTAAAAAAAATCAATTTTGTACATTTTAATGCATTTAGCGCTCAATTTGTGCTGTTTCAGAAGGAGTCATTAGACACTCTAATCTGTGCCAGTTATGAATATAGCATTTGGATAATGCGTCGCAAGACGCCTTGCTGCTGTTGCTGTTGACGGTAGTGTTTTCTATTTAACGATGATTCCAGGATTATTGGACGTCATTTAGGGCTCAAGTTTATTAACGTTTCTTTATGGGGTCTACTTAACCAACTATAATTTTCACGTCTCGTGTTGTGCTGTTGTCTTGCCGCTCCATTTAATATCGTATCCTACGCCCCTGTCGACGACACGTCCGCCAGTTAAGTAGTATCAAATTTGTTGTCTAAACAACTTTTTGAGAACAATGGTTTACAGCAGTAACACATAGGAGTTCATTTTATTCAATCCAAAACTATTTATCTTTATGGATCAAATGACAGCGTTTATTGACACAGCGTTGCTCTTACGGCCAGCTTCTGTTGTACGTGTACTACTATTTGGTAGCTCAGTCAGTTACCTCACACTCAGAAATTTTCTTAATATTTCTACAACAAAACAGCTTTTATTTATATATTGTAGCTTGCAGAAACTATTAAGAGCATAGTATTACGTATATTATAGTATGGAGTCAAAAACACGCATTCCTACGTGTACGCTAAGCACCTTGTAGCATAGGAAGCGTCTTTACGGGCTGTTTCATTTGAGAATAAGTAACTCTGTCTGTTTAGCACTTAAATATTAAAAGCAACATGCATTATTAAAATAGTAAATACTTTGTAATATTAAAACGGTGTCGCCTTCGGATAATGGATAGTCTTGTGCAAATCTCCATATGTGCTCTGTGAGCCACATGAATTTACTGATGTAAGCTACATAATTCCGTTTTAACCATATGAAGCCGCCTTCGCTCCGCTCAGCAGCCAATGGGAAGGCTCAAAAATCTGAGCGTTTCGTGTGACAGACGGACGGACACCGTGCTAGCCTTGATAGTTTAGGACTAGCCGCTCGCCGCCGCTACGCGGCGGAGTGGCATGGTTTGTTGGAGATGAGGTGGCCGCAACTTTAGTGCTTCTTGGTGTCGCGTGTTTTGTGGGCGTCGTTGAACCTAGTACGTCGTGGCTTCGTGTAGTCAACCACTTAACTGTCCGTAATCTCATGTGGCTTTGTACAATATCGTGGTTTGATACGTTTCCGTTACCCCGTACTACAGGTTGAATGTCGTGTTCTTCAATGGCCTGTGCTCTTCCGTGTTCTTCTTGGTTTCGTGGCTCTCTATTCACCCGTGGTCCACGCTGTTTGTGGATATGCGCTCTCTTTTGAGCTCATCCACTTTAGTACGGCCTCTTTCGTGGCTCCTAACTATTCCCTGTTCTCAAACATTTACGCGAGCTGTACCGCTTTCGTGATGCATAGGCATTCGTGGCCGTTGGCCTCCCATCACCGGTACTCTAACCAAAGGGTGCTATTCCGTGCTTTGGTGCCTCCATGCAGTCGTGTGGCTCCGTCGCCCGTGCATCGTGATCTCCTGATGAAGTGTCATCGACCGCGGTATCACGCTATCGTGCAATCACGGTGTCGTAATGCTGTCTATGGTATTGTGCTACGCAGTGTATCTGCGTTGTCCGTGTTATCGTGTTCTACTATGGCATCGTGCTCCACAGTGTTCAGTCGTGGTCTCCCCAAGCGCCCACCTCCCCGTTTATTTCGTGGCTGGTCCGCCGTCCGTGCAATCTAGTTCTAATGTAGTACTGTCCTCCGTGGCTCGGTAAGCTCAGGTTAAACACTGGTATCGTTCTCCGCGGCGCTGTGATTTTCCGTGTATAGCTCCGCGACTGCGTTCTCCCATGGCTTAGTGGCACAGTCCATGCTATCGTGCTAACTTGTAGTGTCGCGGTTGGTCTTTCGTCAATGCAATCGCTAGTTACCGTAGTATCGTGCTGTGATACTCGGTGAGCTCCGGTTCTAACCTTATATCGTGTCCCAATACCCGGTGATATCCCGCTTATGGTCTCCCGCGGGCTCATGTTTGGTCTGCTGACTGTGCTCCGTGTTCAACCGTGGTGCTATGGGAGACTTTCTGTCCGTGCACTATTACCGTTACGTGTTCTACCGTGGCTTCGAGCGTGCGTGCTCTTTCGTAACCCGTGCTTTTCAGCATGCTGGGGTGTCTATGGATTTAGTTCCCTTCTGTGGCCCGTACGCTCCCGTCATATTCTTGTCGTTCTGTCCTTTTCATGGCTGTGTGCTCTTCCGTCTTTCACGCTACTCAACAACTTCGAGGTTTGCATCGGCTAAGTCTTCAGCCATCGTCCGTTGCCTTCCGTGCTTCGTGTTGCTCTTCTAACCCATCGTCTACATAGTGTGGGTTGGTGTTCCTTCGTGCTTCGTGCTCTTGCTTAGTCACGTGCCTCCGCGTTAACTTAAACAAATAGCTGTTCCCATTTTGTTTGATGTACGCTACATATATTGTTGGAAAGTTCGCACAATATCTGAAGGTCGCACACTACGCGCGCAAATACAAAGGAAGATGACACTTTTTTCCGGAGGCAGTGTGGGGTGCAGGGCACGATAATCTTTTTTTTAAGTATTCACATTTTTTTAAATAGTAATAGAATTGTGATTTATTATCGAACGCTGATATAATAGCTATGTGTACTACTACTACAAATAGCTGCAAGGAAAAATATGAAATGTCTTGATAATAGTACTACTCAAAACATATTGTAAGTTTGATTTTTAGAAAAGTACTATGAAGCCTAAATTATCATTCTATATCCAATAGCTACTAAAGTTTCTATTGAGGCATAAATATAAGTCAGCAGGACCTACAAAAAATTTCAACAGCTCCTACGACGATATTGTATGTGTGTGAACGTCGGCACCTCCTATTAATGCTAATTAACGCGTGCACAGGCAGCGCCCTTTGCGTGGCCTTGCGAGCCGCAGCTGAAAATGAGAGCAAAATGAAATTTGAGCGGTGCATTTAAGTACGATGTGTAGACCATATACAGCGTGTACACCACGTAATGCGATTTTAGCCAATTGGAGCCGCCTTCGCTGCGCTCGGCAGCCAGTAGAACGCCCGCATTTGCGTTACATTTTAGAACCCTACCCTCGGACGGACAGACGGACACCATACTCCACTAGGGGGGTAAGATGCTAACACTAGCGCTCTGTGCGCACGCTCCGTGAACGCTAGGGTATGCTGGATGGTGTAGCGTAGGCTGGACACCTCCGCTGCGCTGCGGTGTGCTTAGAATTTGTACTTAGAGCGAAGCTGCATATAATAAATGTATACTGTGATCTACTTATGTTACGTTCCAAAACAACACTGCACACAGTATCTATAGTGCTCACATGTTATGGTAAACATGACCAGGATTTAAATGATCTGTAAGATGAGCACCATCTTACCCGGGAAGGTTTTGGCTATAATCCCGTTTGAACGTATAGCTCCTAAAACAACACGAATCAGAGGTGCGCGTGGTAGCAAATGTAATACATGCTGTGCGGAAGACGGGTCAGTACCAATGATGATCCCAAATTGGCATAGATAGGTGAGGAATCCCAGTGTAGCTGGAGTAAATACGCCTGCTCAAACATATTACCATCCGCACGTCATTGCCATGAGGCAGTCGACACGATATCTTTGATTGCGACGGTCTATTAGAGCAAGGTTTGTTCGGCTCCTCGCGCGAAGTACAGGTACTATTTGCCGATGGTCGCCACAGACATCAATATTATGCCTTATTATCGTTCCGCTGAGCTCTTTATGATAGTGCTGAAGGATCTTTCTACTATCTTCCGCATGCATTGATCTTACTTGTATAGCTGACTTACTTACTGATTTGCATAGCTACTGACTGACAGAGTGGCGTAGATCCTTTCGAGTGACATTTACTGGTTGGGATATGTATGGCGAACATACGAAGCCACATGGCTGTATGCAAATTATCAGATCGTATATATTATA